CTTATATGCATTTTGTCGAGGGAGGGGGGGGGGTCGTGCCTGGACCCCATTCGAAGGGGGGGGGTCGTACTCACACCGACATTTCGCACATCCCCATGCTGTACCCTGTAAACGAAGCAGCGGGAGCGCTCCGATCAGCAAAGCACAATAAACGGATGCCTCCACCAATTTCTTTACTCATAAGGTGTGTGCCGACTGTGCATAGCCTTTCGCTACAGCAAGTTATTTGATTGTCCCCTTGCGACGGGGTAGACGTAGTGCCATAGGAAGTGACGTCACCAACACAAAAATGGAACCCCGGTTCCAGTTCATTCTCCGTCAAAGCTTTTATTTTCCAATGCCAGGGAGTATCCACAGATTAGCAGATCCGTCCCCATGATTCCATGGCCAAACCGCGCTCATGGCTGCTGCGATTCTAAATAGGTGTCGGACGCGTGGCGCATCCTATAGATAAGTGATCTGTGCCGGGCGCTTTTTGCTTCCAGTACTTCTATGGACTTACGATTTTCTATACAAGCCATTTACTACACACCTTAAAAATTCCGTTTGAAAGTAAAACTCTCTGCAGGTACTTCGACAAAGAAATCTCACCTATCTGATGTGGATATCTGGCTGTGATATATTTATTTCTATAAGTTATATCGCAATTATGTGTGTTCAGGTGAGTGCAGGATTTTGCTTCTTTCCACCAGCTTTTCTTTCTGCCAGCTTCAGCCTTCTGGTGGAATTGGGTTTGTGAAAGAATCCCTCGTTCAGGTGTATACAGATTACTTCGAGTCTTTCGCATTGTTCTATCTCTGGCATCGCTATCTTCGAGCCGCTTTTACCGTATCACATATCACTTTGAGCAGTAGCTCGTTTCTGCTCATGGCAGCCACGATTGAAAGATACCTGTTAAGCACATCTGACCGCAGGTATGAACCATCTCGCTCTTCATTCACTGGCTTTTTAACTTATTGAATCTTCAGAGCTGCTGAGCTGTTGGGGCTCTTGTCACGACATCGAGCTACCGTGGTATTGCTTTGCTTCATCACCGGTTGTATATTCAGAGGCACCGTGTTCTTCGAAGTAGCGGTGGGTTTTCGCAGTCTACAATAAAATAACCCTTGATGTCCGCTGAATCTGTGAATTTTTAGGTTGTGTATAATCCGCGATGTACTGGTTTCTCGAGTTTGGGTCTAGCGTCGTCCCGGCTTTTCTCGAATCCCCTCTACGATGCTATTTGGAAGTTCTGGATTCGCAAAATTGTCACAGTCTTTCTTCCATTTACTGGTTAGGACGTTAATGACCTGGAGCTATCTATAGTAGCACAGGCACAATCCACGTTGATCATATGGGAGGGGTCAGACCTGCCATTTTACATTGGCCTGTGATTTGGCTCTATTGTCCAACATCGTGAAGTAGAAAGGAGGTGCCAGTGAGCATTGATAGGTCTGGTTCCGCCCACAGAATCAGTGTGAACTTGCCCCTTGAGTCCGCATATATGGACTGTCCATGCAAACAGAGATTCAAACACCTTGTGCTTCAGCCTTGGCATGGTTCAATACGGCCATCGTGTTGCATGTCCGCCGAAGCGACAAGGATCAAACAGTGAAAGCTCTTGTTCTCTACATCACCGTCGGCACCAGGTGCAAATTTTTCACTAAGGGATCGTCTCTTATACATTCAGAGAGCACTGGTTCGTCACCCGGGCCATTTTACGATTTCAGAGCTGAAGTGACGCATCTGAGATCACGACTTCGAGCCGTCACAAGAATGCTTGTCATGGTCGTCTGTTGCTATCTGGCCGCCAATATCATCGACGTTGTCATTGCTTTTTGGGAGGTTCGATATACACTCCCGCTGACAGCTTCGATCGATTGACCGGTGATTTTCAGACGATCGATATCGAATCGTTATTTGCAAACGAAGGCTTCTACACAGTCACGACAGACATATCATCGTTCCTGCCGATGTTAGCGTGTGCGCTACGACTGCCAATCTATGCCATTAATGACAAGCAAATAAAAACAGAAGTGGGTTTCCATTTAGGCGCATGCAATTCCCGTATGCAATCTGGCACGATGGAAATAGAAACAAGCATCACAGCCATAGCCACAGTAAACAAAATGTCGCTATACGAAACGGGGGTCGTCTTTAAAAAAAGCTGCACGACCACCCGCACTAGATTACAGTCGTCATCTAGACACTTGATTAGGCGGTTCAAGGGTCGCGACGCGGCGTGTCACGAGCGCGGCGATCAGCTGTTTCCAGCCTATTTTAGCCATTTTCTCCCTAATTTACACTGTTTTGGCTGCTTTTCTCACGATTAGTTGTTCCTTGTCTTCACAAGGTAAATTATGATTGAGATTCCTCTGATTTTTGCGTACAATTAAACAGTTAAGCAGACAATTGAACAAATACCTGAAAAAAATCGCAAAAACACTATTGTCAAAACAAAAAACATTCCTCGTCCTAATGTACTTCATAAGGACTCAAAACCTTACCTTGAAGAAAAAAAAATATGGGTTACAGTTAAAATTAGGGAGAAAATGGCCAAATTAGGCCGGAAACAGCTGATCGCCGCGGCGCATCGCGTCGCGTACCTTAGCCGCCTAACCAAGTGCCCGGATGACGAGTGTACGTTGTCGTCTCCCTTAAAGGCAATTCCCGCGACCACAGTTCATAGGTAATACAGTTCAAAAATAGAATTGCCGTGTGTTTGTTGACTTATTGAAGAGAAGGAAGCACGAAAAAGCGCCCGGAATAAGACCCTCTTTATTGCAATTGATCATGATCACCGGACGAGCGTAAGGTAATTGTGAATTGCGAAAGGTGACGATACAGAGAGGCCAGAAAACGACGGGCGAGAGAGCGCAATGGCAGTCTCACAACGACACGGTCACTGGAGGCCGGCATGGGCCTATCGGGCGCAAATGGGCCTAAAACCTGAGCGCCCTGCGTTTT